TACGGCAATTGTCATGTAGTTTGCGGCCATTTTATACTGGCCAGAGTGAGAGCCTATAGTTGGCTGCCATGAATAGGCACGAAAATTCTATTGGCCAGCGTGAGAGCCAACAGCTGACTGACACGAATATTAACTAGCATGCTAGCATGCAAAAAATCGATAGCTGCATTCGTCACAAGTGGAAAAATTTAAATCTGCATGGCACATTACTCCAGTTGGCTCGTTCGCTTGCTTAAACTAAACTTTGATTCTGATTCCGCAGAACTGAGTTGGGTGTGAAAAAGTATTTGTTGTTAAGATTCTTTTTTCATTCGGTTTTTCCAGTTACGCATCCTTTTTTAAAGCTGATCGTTTTGTGTTCATTTTGTTTAGTTCTTTTTAATGTTTAGTATAGAGCTTAGAAAAAATCGCATTGTGAGATAGGCAAGAAGTAAGGCATGTAGCAACATCAGCACGGCAAAGGGCACTCCTTTAAAAGCAAGGAAGAGCAAAAATATTTTAAGTCAAGTGATAGCGATTGCTGTATGAGTCGTACGATTTTTTAATCAAGCACGGGCAACGCCGGTCCATGCTGCTAGTAACGTATAAATATAAATTATATTAAATAATTGTTGAACTTATCCATTTCATTATATTGAGCAGATATGACCTATCGAGAAAATCGAAGATTGTGTGCTTATAAACAATTGTGACACTATTAACTATGGTAATTGGCTAACTATTAAGCATGGAAATTAAAAGCGAGAAATACTTAAGGCGAGAAAAAGCTATAACGAAAGATATACTGCGCGATGTTATTTTTTTTAACAAAAGAAAAATGGGTAAAGATTTTATTTTCATTTGAAAAGAAAGATATTTTTTTTTTTCGCAGAAAATAGAAAATTCGTAAGATCTCGGATCTGTCAGAATTAATTTATGCCATGACGTGACAAGGAAAAACAGAATACGGGTAAAGATAACAATCTGCCCATGGCAATAATGAAAATTTCAATTTGGTCAAGAGGCTTACAAAGCAGAATGCTAGAAGATAATCGAAAACTAGGTCAAGCATGCGACCGAGAAAGAATTAGGTGAGACCACCCCAAAGAAAAAGGAAGGAAAAAGAGAAAAAGAATAAGCCATTAACTATCTTTCGGAGATAGCATTTGGTTTGGGAAGGAGAACCATTTATCGTATGTCCAGAACTTGCCATGATACCTGGACAAGCTGTTGGCGACAGAATGCGATTATTTTGAGAAAGACAAAGAGATTTAGTTGACCACCCAGATAATAAGTCGGAGAAAATCCCATCAATGAATCCCAGATGACATCAAGTTAAGATAAAAATTTAATGACTACAGTACGATTCGCGGGGGTTCTGGCCATGGAAAAGAAAGAAAAGAAAAGGGAATATTTTTTTTTCTTTGAGCGATAATTGTAAACTGAGGCCAGTCTAGCTACACCCACACTGCCGAGCGTTCATTGGCTGAATGGTGGCGTGAGCGATGGGCGGAGGTAAACATATGAGAAAGAAGGGAAATCTGTTGGCGCCCTCTAAGGGGATTGGTGTGAGATACCAATAAGAGAAAGGAAGAATTTAGGAGGGCAATTCCCTTATGAACCCCTCTAAAACAGAAAGTAATTGACTTCCAAAAATGGGAAGTGATAAATTTTCCAGTCCGAAAACAGAAAATCCTTATTGCGGATTTCGAATTATCGAGGAACCCAAACGATGACACGCCCCCACCCGGTTTTGCTCGGCGTCCATATAAACGAACGTCCCCAGTGTTTCAGACAGTTGAAGAATACAGTTGGCGACAGTTGCGTTGCAGTTGAGCTGTAAGCTCGGAGACCAGCCTCGCTGGAGCTGACTGAAAGATTTCCACGCATTCCAACTTAGACTTCTAACTAAAAACAATTTTTTTTGAAGAAAGACTTAGACTCACAACACCAAAACAAGTTTTACGAATATCGCGTGAAGATACAAAAAACAGTTTATTGAAAAAAAAATTAAGCTATTAAAACTCGCCTAAGAAACTCAAAGTGTCACGAATCCATATTAGCGGTTTGGGAGAAAGAAGCAGTCCTGTATTCAGCAACCAGATATAAAGATACTTGTTATTTTTTTCAACACATTTGAATCTTTTGAGTTGTTACATTATTTTCTTTTACATATACTTGTGCGGTATCACATTTGCCCCGGATTTAGCTTGCACTACGGCCCGACGCCTGGTTGATTTTGTCTACCTAAGATCAAATCACAACGTGGGTAGGTTAGACTATAAATCAAAGCAGTTACTTCGGTAACCAGACGTTGGAAGCGAGCTGGGAACGACAAAGCTGATATCGAAACTAACCAGATTTCCATCCGAACCAGCCAAGGGTTAGATCGTCACAGGATAGCACAGGAGCAAGGACCAGGCTGACGTCACACAGTAACAGCAATTTTGGCTCTGTTAACCAGATAAATAGTATATGACGCTAGATCAAATGGCTATATCCGTAAAGGAATGCAGGTTCG